CGCATACGATCGGTTCAAGTGATATTGAAAAAATAACTGGAAGTATTCAAGAGTGTAAAATTGGAATTGATATTCGGCTTGGTGATTGTTTTTTCATTTGAGTGTGTGAAAGTTGTATTTTTTTAAGATGGTAAGTGTTTTTGAATAATATATTTATATAGAGGCATTCATCACGTAGTTGGTATTTTGCGTCGGTATATTTCCATATAACGATGAATAAATTTTGAAATTCGCTTTCTTTATCTATTCATACAGAGGTTCTAGATGGATATTGATGCAACAATGCAGCAAAAATATTCATCATTTTGTTATCACCAACTCGTTTTATTTTTTCAGATATGCCGGGAATGTACGGTATTGTATTCGTCGTTATACAGTTACAGGGTTTCATGAGTACTAACACCTTAGATTATTTTCATATCTATAGGGTGTACAAATTCCAAGATATTGGCTGATGGCGTTTTTAAAATGGGACAACCTGCATTCAATTGCATTTCCGAATACACTGTCAAAATTGCTACACAACTTTTGTTTTCTATATTTGATTCCACGGTTGCCAAGTTAGTCATTTCTGTGAAAAACTTATTAAAAAAAAATTATGGTTATTTTTTGGACATTGGAATGAAATGAATTCACACGAGTAGAGTCGTAAATCGGTTCGAAATATAGAACACTGTCAGTGTTAGACGGAAAAACTTGACGAGATTGAAGATGCCGAAACTTCATTATTTTAAATGGAACACCCTGTATTTTTCAATGTTAACGGTTCCAGATCCGAATTACCATCAATTTTCATGAAGTACCTATGTCCTATACTTTAATATTACCGTTTTCAATATAAATCAATTTGTACGAAAACTAAAAGTACTTATCTATGTTGCCAAATCAGATTGAAATGTTACAACCCAATACAAGCACCAACAATTATCTTAACGTTACCGACGCATGGGTTCGAATCCCATCAGTTAGGCCATGGATGTTTGTAAATGTATGCTTTCCTAACCCCGCACAAGTTTCGACTTATGGGGCGTTGGATCCAGTGCTGGGTCCAACGAGGAAATGCAATTGAAAATAATAATAATACCACAGTTGTGATTATGAACTGTCAGAATAAAAGATTTTTTGCACAGCCTACTTCACCGCAGCTCATGAAATAATAGTGAATAATAATGAGCCCACAAAAATTAGTTTATTAAAAAAGTTATATTCTGCCGAACGATCAATCGATAGTACACTTAATTTTACTCTCATGACTTGATGTTATTTTTATGTAAAAAAAAATGATTTTGAATCAAGATGTAAATAAAAATGCATCAAAATGAAGCTAAGTATTTCAAAAAATAACAATAAAACATCTGTCAAATCAGATGTGTGCTGGTAAAAAGTGAGTCACTCTAATCATTTCTTCCCGCTCTTTTAAAATATCGAAATAGATCCACGCAATTTTGCCATACAGAGTGTTGTTTTCGAAATTAAAGAAGATTTCTTTTTTTTTTCAAGACGGACCTGGATTCTGATCCCCATTTTTTAAATTTCAATGAGTAATATAAGTGGAATATTTCTACCAAGTATGGATAGATTATACAAAGTGGTTCAATAGTTATGACCAGATGCAGATTTTGTCAAAATCAAGATAACGTCCTGTATCTCAGTTATAAAAGACGGTAGACACATCAATGGGGGGTCATTTGGAATCATCAAAGTGTCCTCTATTTACAAGTAGCGTATGTACATTTAAATCTGAAACACCCTGTATACAATATATAAATATTTGTCCCAAATGCATGCGAAACCATTGTAGTTTATCAAATGGCACGCTGTGCCAATCACTATCCTAAGCAAAATGATTGAAAAATTGCACTTTCCTGTACTGTGCACTTGATTTCACGTTTTGATGATAAGATAAGAATTATGCCATCCGATATCAATTGAATGGTGGATTTAAAAAATCTATCTATGCCACCCCTCACTTCAAGCCAAACCCAGGACACAGTGATTCATTTGCTATTATTCTGAGCATACTTCCATCAAGTGATAACGAGTTTAAACAAGAATTTGCGAATATCCAAAGATGCCGCAATTCAAACTGATCTTAACTAGTCACAGAGCACCCCTATGAAATATTGCACCTCTAGGCCTTGTTTGCCTCATGGATAATGCACCTCTGCACCAAGAAATTGGAAAAATATGATTGAAACCTGAAAATTTCAAGACCAACCAATATTTCACTTTGATTTTCTCACAATAAATTGGTGGAAATAAGGGAAAGAGGAATGGCTATGTACAGGGTTATCCATCGAGAAGGCCCACCCCCATATTTTCGTTATACTTCCACTTAGAAAAAAAAATAATATGCGGAAATTTAATGCCGCAATGAGACCTTTCTAAGGCATTCATCAGAGGTTATACATGGTGATTCCTAAGAGCGTGGCAAACCACAAATCAATTTTTTTTAATGGAACACCCTGTTTTTAATATTTTTTTCGAGATCTGTGATCTTTTGCGATCACAAATATATAAATATACAGTATTTTATCTCTCACTGTTTTTCTTTAATCACAATTTTCCTGGTACCAGAACAACATTTTGTGTGGGATGGCATCTTTAAGTTCTTGGGAATTCTTCCATTGGCAAAGAATTCCAAAGCTTCGCCGTTACATGTATACATTATCAAATACAAGCAGAAACATCGTGACCACTTATTGAAAATACTCCCATACCTAACTAGAAAAATTGCTCAAAATGCTGCCCTTGATGGTCACAGCAAAGCATATACCTTTTTTCCAGATTGATTATTGATTTTGCTATTATTCCCGAGCGCTCCCTATTCAAACAATCAATTTCTTCGATTATCTCATATCTAAGTTCGTTAATATTCTCAGTTGGTTCACTATAAATTTTATTTTTCAAGTTGCCCCATAAAAAAGTATCTAGTGGCGTCAGATCTGGACTGTTTGCTGGCCATGAAATAGTTCCAAACCTCCCAATCCATTCATGGTATTGGGCATTCAGAAACTCTCTCACGTCCCTTGAATTGTGCGGAGGAGCCCCATCTTGCTGCCATATAATATTTTGAGGTAGGTCGGCTTGTCGTAAACAATTTCTTATTTCATTTGTTAGGAAATTGTAGTAAATTCTCCCATTCAGATTGCCATTGTATAGAATGGGGCCAATTATTTTTTGGTCAAAAAGACCACACCAGACGTGTACTGATTGCCTTTCCTGAACTTTAATTTGAGAAATTTTATTGGGATTCTCTGACGCCCAGTGTCTACTATTCTGTCTGTTGAATATTCCCGCTGTTGTGAATGTAGCTTCGTCGGTCCACAATATATTTTTAAGAAAGTTAGGATCTTCTTCTAACCTACCAATCATATACCTACAATAATTTAACCTATTATGTATTTGAGCATCGCTCAATTTTTGCACTGGCATGATTTTATATGCTTTGAATTTATTTCTTTTCAAAGCCCTGTGTATGGTGCCATAGGAATAACCCAAAGTCCGCACAGCACTAGTCAAGGAACAGTTGGGATTTTCTTGAAAATATAATAAGATATTCAACTCGCGCTCTTCGTTACCCTGGAACATTTTTTTCTTAGTGGTTAGGTTTCCAGTGGATTCAAGTTTACTGTTCAATTTTTGAAAAGTTCTTCTATTAGGTAAAGCTCGTTCAGGGTATAATCGGGCATATTCTCTCCGAGCTAGAATGTTCAATCAGAAATTATATATTTACCTGATGAATTTTGTAATTGTTTACCCTCTGAAGCGTTTTTGTTATTTTTAATGTATAAAGACATTATATCATATCTTTCTGCGATTGTAAACATTTCGACAAATTACGACACACAAAATAACTAAACAGTTTTCGAACGTATTTTGTGACGGTAACATGAGGACACGACATGTCAAATAGTTTCGGTTTCAAAGCTTACTTGATTTATTTTGATGCCATCACACACAAATTTTGGTTCTGGACCACAAAAATTGTAATTAACGAAAAACAGTAAGAGATAGCATACTGTATATTCATATATATTTGTGATCGCAAAAGATCACAGATCTCGAAAAAAATATAAAAAACAGGGTGTTCCATTTAAAAAAATTGATTTGTGGTTTGCCACGCTCTTAGGAATCACCCTGTATAACCTCTGATGAATGCCTCAGAAAGGTCTCATTGCGGCATTAAATTTCTGCATAATATTTTTTTTTCTAAGTGAAAGTATAAGGAAAATATGGGGGTGGGCCTTCTCGATGGATAACCCTGTACACTTCAACTCCTAGAGGGATCCAACATTCCAAGGAATTTTGATAACAGCTCTTTAAATGGAATTTTAGGTACTTTAAGTAACATTTTTAATACATTGAGTACAATTTAATATGCTCTCAAGTACTTCAGTACTAAAATTATCAATTTAAATACCTGTTTTAGTACCTAACTTAAGTACCAATTTCAAGTATTTTTTAATTGCCATATATTTAAATATGGTGTACATATTTTGGGTTGTCCCCCTCCATAGTCCCCATTTGTGTTATTCTATATCTACAGGAAATATTTATATTTTGTTTTTTTATATTCATTGCTCCCCCCTTAAATAGTACCCTGGATTCGTCACTGCTTTAATAAGCTATTAATTCTTTGAAACAAAATAATATAGATGAAGCTTTTATTTAGTAGACCAACAATGTAAAAATAAAGTTATGTGGAAATGTAGTCTTCTCCAATATAACAAAACCACAACAGTTGTTACAAATTGCAAATGCAAAACATAATAAAACAAGAAATCATGTGAAAGAAATTGTTTATTAATGACATTCACATCACCACAACAATACATTAAATCTTCATAAAAAATTATATAATAATGAAAATAATTGGAAAGTTCAAAAACCTTCAAGTCTAGTGGACTAACTCACATAATTTGTATTTCTCAATAAGCAGGAATGTTGAGAAACATTCCAAAAAATATTAAAAACATCCTTTCAACAACACCTTATTTTTACTTCCTCCCTTTTTGTTTCTTGTTGCTTACCTTCACAGGAGGCTGTGGAGTTGTTTCTTCTTCATCATCATCTGAAGCTTCTTCATCATCATCAGAGCCTTCTTCTTCATCAGAGTCTTCTTCTTCCTCACCAGAACCTTCTTCTTCTTCTCCACTCTCTTCTTCATCGCCAGAGTCTTCACCTTCTACTGCTTGTTCTTCCCCTGATGCAGATTCTTCTTCATCATCAGAATCCTCTTCCTCTGATGCTTCTTCTGTTTTCACTATTTTCACCTCTTGCTTAACAGTTGTTTTGGCATTCTTTCCTTTAGCCTGGAAATAGAATAAAAATGAATTTTTTGAAGACTATCAGATGAGAAGACAAAAATACGGTGATTTTTTTCAAAGAGTGTATGGTCAAGACTGACTGCTAATTATTTTCCAGAAACAGGCAACCATCTTTTTCCAATTGGAAATATTATTTTCTTTAATTCTGCTCTAGTTTTGAATTTATCTTCATTGAAGTTCGATAGTTATAGGCGAAAATGTGAAGATAAAGCAGAGAATCAGAATATCATGTACCTTGAGAAAAATTGACTTTTCCGTAGACCCTGTATTAACGACTAAGTTTAATGTATATGAAATCGTTTATTAATGACCCCTATTAATGGACGATTTGTCTATTAATGCACTATTGTTTTATAGGCAACCAAACATACACCGCGTGCATTCATTGTTTATGCTATAACTAGGGGAATCTGCGTTTAAATGGAAAATATGGATTTCATTGACGATTTTCCGTTAACGGGTTCGCCTTTCCAAGTTTCTGACACGATTTTAATCCCTGTTTTCTAACAGAAGGAATTTATTTCCTATGTTGATCATTTTGACAAATGTCAAATGACACTTATGTCAGTAACAAGGCTACTGGATGATTCTTAGCAGTTTCCGGATGGATGATGAATTCGCGAACCAAGTTTTCTTCATTGCAGGAGAAATGAGAAACATTGTCGACGGAAAAATTTTGTAACCAACTTGTATATTAAAAGGCGATTAATAATCTCGAACATTAACGCACTCGCTTCGCTCGCACGTTAAAATATCTCAATCATTAATCGCCCTCATTAATACACTAGTTGGTTAAATAACTATTACTTCATGTTTAAATATTTGTCACTTATAATTACAGGAGAACTTTTTGGCACTGTCTACACGACCGCCGCGGCGGTTGGATACTGAAACTTAAACAACCGCCGGCGGTTACCTATTTTTATATAGAAGACCGCCGTGAGACATGAGGAAGGAAAATATCGTTTCTGCATCAGAAAGAAGACTACTTTTTTCAAACAAACTGACCTAACTCACCTAAATGAACCTTTCTCCTGAGAAGTATATTTTTCGAGAAATTATTTGTGAAAAAAAGTTTTGAAAAAATAAGGCCTAGTAGGGATTGAACCCGAGCCACAGGCGTGGTGGTCAGGTGAATTTTCAACTGAGCTATCGCTTTGCTCGGAAGTACTCTCTATGAAGAAGGAAGAAATATCATCGCTGTTGTTTATGTATCAGTATCCAACCGCCGCGGCGGTCGTGTACTTGACATTTTGATGAGCATTTGTTGCCTGGAAATCAAAGGAAAAAAATTGCCTTTGAAGAAATCACAACTCCATAGGACAATTTTCAAATTTACTTTGACCCAGAAAAAAAATGCTCCAGTGTAATTCCCTAAGACAATATAATGAATACCTATAATTCACACTATTTTTCCATTGTTTTTCTAATTTCTCCCCAAATCATGACACTCAACAAATTATAATTTTCTGACAATGCAAGAATGATAAATATCTACATGAACACCATCAAGATTTGTTCACAATTCTGGTTATCATGGTTTCTAGTTAGGTTACATTTTGTCAGTGAAAAACTTGGGGCACAGTTTTGTTGCTGGCATTATGATTAAATCACAGCAGCTCATGAGATTTTGATTATTGTATGGCATTTTTCACAAATTGTGGTCAATTTTCAAAACATTTTTTTTTTCATTTCACTCTGAAAAATGTTCAATTAATCACTTGGAGATGTTTGTTGTTTCATAACAAATCATAGAACTGTTGTTTCCCTACATTTCCCACATGTTTTTGGTTTTTGTTGACTTTGTTTCAACTTGTAGACTTCAGAATATACATTGTATTGCCTTTATTCAAATTTATCCCTGAATTTGTTTTCAGCTCATGAAGAAATATTGTGAGGAAATGTGCTTCCTATATTTCCCTGTATGCAATAAAAAAATCACAGTTTAATTTTTTCATATCACTGTTAAGTTTTTTGTCCCTATCCCTATGGAGTTTTCTTGAACATGAAATGTGTTGAGTTTTCTATCTCTATATGCCTGGCATACATTTTTCAATCCTCCAGAATCCTTGGAAAATTTTTGTTTAATTATCCAGAAAAATTTGTATATGTTCTTGGGTTTTTAGTGAAAATATCAATTAATTTGAATAATCAAATAACATTAAATTGATAAATTGTACAGAGAAAATCAATATTTTGAAAAGTGCTGTAGATGGATTATTTTTTATCAAAAATTGGTGATTAAATCTTATCATTCACTATGAAAAATGTTTCATTGAAAACTTGCAGATGTTTAGACATATTGGTTGTTGTTTCATTATAAGATGGTCAAAGAAAAGTATAAAATATACTATAACTCAACCATTCCTTTAACCATTGATAAATTCTAATATTCTGGATAAGTCTTTGAATAAAAAAATAATCATCATTATTACCTGTTGTCCTTTTTTGCCAATAGGTGCTGCAACATTTTCTCCACCCTTTCCCTCAGACTTCAGAGCTGCTCTCCTCTTTCTATCACGTCGTTTTGCAGACTCTGTCAATTCTGATTTTGGCTTTTGTGAAATTGTCCCATGGTCTGGAGCCTTACCCTCAGCAATGTTCTTCAATCTCCTCAGCATCTTGATTTTGCGCCTAGCTGTCTTGGTTAGGTTGGGGCGGCTCTGTATTGCTTGGAGTTTGGTTTCCAAGTTTTTGATGACTTCACTTTTGGCCACAGTGTCATCTGACGTCAGTTTGTCCTTGATCATTGACATCAATTTCCTTCTAGGTTTCCTCTCAATACTGGGCTTTCTTTCACCATCTTTCTTGGCTGAATTTTGTTTACCAGCTTTAGCAGGTTTTCCTGGTTTGGGTGATTGAATCTGGGCTGTGCCAGGGAAAGGTTTCACTTTCTGGTCTGTTTCAGATTCACTATTCTGTTTTACTTTCTTATTCGATTTTTGCACACTATTCTGGGCCTTTTTGTTCTGGTTCTTCTGCTGTTTGGGAGTTTGAAACTTTTGGGGTGTCTTGCCATTCTCTAATTTTGGTTTTTTGGGGGATTCTTGTTTTCCTTCAACACTCTTCCTCTTCTTGGGAGTTTTTTGAGGGGTTCTTGTCTCCACGTCAGTCATATCTGGAATAAAAAAAACTCTAGTTGAACTTGAAAATAAAAAAACACATGTACATTTACAAAAACATCAACATTTGAATTCCAGAAACAATCGAAGGTGATCAGTTAAGAATTGGAATCAAAGAGGATTGCTTACTTGTATGTTTTTTCCAAAAACACAGTCAATATCAAAATTAAAAAAACGTGGTGAGGCGTGCAAGTGAAAAGCTTGTTACCGCGACAAGTTTTGAGGTTAAAAGAAAGCGCACGGTCAGCAGTGATACCAATCAATACCCATCAATACCAACATTACCAACACAAAACCAACAAAAACACTTCTCCCAACAAACTCCCAAGTTCCAACAGTCCCAACTCTCAATAGAAACAGAAATCAACCCAGCAGCAGTTTACTTTTCTTCTGATTTTATATTTTATTTTAGCCTTATATTTTCTCAAAGTTCGATTATAAAATTACTTTCTACCGTTCTTCCTGGCAACTCAAAATCATTTGAGTCTTGTTCTTCTTGACATCTTGACTCTTGGTCCAGAACCAGATGAGCATTCACCGAGCACCCAGTAGTTGCAGTAGAATTTTCTTGAAGAGCGCATCAGTAGTACTTTGTAAGATAATCCGATCATTGCAGGCTTCAGGATTCGAAAGAATATAGAAAAAAGAAGAAGATTTATTGACAAGACACATTGACATTTGACAAGACCCAAACAAACCTTGATTTTGACATAAAAAATCAAATCATAATTTTTTCTGATATTTAAATTATATTTAAAAAATAATGCCAAAGGTACGAAGAAGTAAAAAACCACCACCAGAAGGATGGGAACTGATCGAACCAACATTGGACGAATTGGAACAGAAAATGAGAGAAGGTAGGTATTCAGCTAGATAAAAAATTGTCATGAATTGAAAACAATTTGTCTTTTCAGCCGAAACAGAATCGCATGAAGGCAAGCGCAAAAACGAGTCACTGTGGCCAATATTCAAAATTCACCACCAAAAATCTCGGTACATCTTCGACCTCTATTATAGAAGGAAAGCAATCAGCAAGGAACTGTATGACTACTGTCTCCTAGAAAACATCGCCGACAAGAATCTGATAGCCAAATGGAAGAAACAGGGCTATGAGAGCTTGTGCTGTTTGAGGTGCATCCAGACCAGGGACACCAATTTCGGCACAAACTGTATTTGTCGGGTGCCCAAAGCTAAGTTGGAGGAGGGCAGGATAGTAGAATGTGTGCATTGTGGGTGCAGGGGATGTTCTGGATAAAATAACACTTGAATTCTTCCTCATGTTATTTTGATATCCCATATTGCTAGTTAGGTTTTTAGATATCAGATGATTTTTTATAATACTTTAATTAATTATGCCCCAAAAACAATACCTGATTTCAGAAAATAACAAACATCTTCAAAAATCATGAAGTTGAAAAGGTAGCAGAACTCACAGCATTAGTTTAAGGGAGAAATGATATTAAATGAAGAGCTATAGCCCTATAGCAATGTACCCATAACCAATTGCTGAGCATAAGGGCTTTCTATATTGAAAATAAATACCCCTCACAATTACAATGCAGTGTATCATTTAAGAAACCACATAAAATTTGAGTTATTAAATACCTCTCATGTCATTGGAAAATTTCAAGGACAAGAAAAAGGGTGTGTATGTGAGGGTCAAATCATCTCAAGACTAAAGTGCTCCCCAGGGGGGCTGGGGAAAAATTCAAAAATTTTTCATCATGTATTTTCATGATAAAAATCGATTCATGGTGAAATTGAGATGATTTGACTCTCAAAAATACCCAGTCCGCAAGATTTTATGAAAAAACACAAGAGTAAAGTGCTCCCCAGGGGGGCTGGGGAAAAAATTCAAAAACTTTTCATCATGTATTTTCATGAGATACATCGATTTATGGTAAAATTGGGATGATTTGCCCCTCAAAAATACCCAGTCTGCAAGATTTTATGAAAAAACACAAGAGTAAAGTGCTCCCCAGGGGGGCTGGGTAAAAAATTCAAACACTTTTAATCGTGTATTTTCATGAGATAAATCGATTTATGGTGAAATTGAGATGATTTGACTCTCATAAATACCCAGTCCGCAAGATTTTATGAAAAAACACACGAGTAAAGTGCTCCCCAGGGGGGCTAGGGAAAAAATTCAAACACTTTAAATCGTGCATTTTCATGAGATAAATCGATTTATGGTGAAATTGAGATGATTTGACTCTCATAAATACCCAGTCCGCAAGATTTTATGAAAAAACAAGAGTAAAGTGCTCCCCAGGGGGGCTAGGGAAAAAATTCAAAAACTATTCATCGTGTATTTACATGAGATAAATCGATTTATGGTGAAATTGAGATGATTCGACTCTCAAAAATACCCAGTCCTCAAGATTTTATGAAAAAACACAAGAGTAAAGTGCTCCCCAGGGGGGCTGGGGAAAAAATTCAGAAACTTTTCATCATGTATTTTCATGAGATACATCGATTTATGGTAAAATTGGGATGATTTGACCCTCAAAAATACCCAGTCTGCAAGATTTTATGAAAAAACACAAGAGTAAAGTCAGAGAGTAAAGTGCTCCCCAGGGGGGCTAGGGAAAAAATTCAAAAACTTTTCATCGTGTATTTTCATGAGATAAATCGATTTATATGGTGAAATTGAGATGATTTGACTCTCAAAAATACCCAGTCCGTAAGATTTTATGAAAAAACACACGAGTAAAGTGCTCCCCAGGGGGGCTGGGTAAAAAATTCAAACACTTTTCATCGTGTATTTTCATGAGATGAATCGATTTATGGTGAAATTGAGATGATTTGACTCTCATAAATACCCAGTCCGCAAGATTTTATGAAAAAACACACGAGTAAAGTGCTCCCCAGGGGGGCTAGGGAAAAAATTCAAAAACTTTTCATCGTGTATTTACATGAGATAAATCGATTTATGGTGAAATTGAGATGATTTGACTCTAAAAAATACCCAGTCCGCAAGATTTTATGAAAAAACACACGAGTAAAGTGCTCCCCAGGGGGGCTAGGGAAAAAATTCAAAAACTTTTCATCGTGTATTTACATGAGATAAATCGATTTATGGTGAAATTGAGATGATTTGACTCTCAAAAATACCCAGTCCTCAAGATTTTATGAAAAAACAAAAGAGTAAAGTGCTCCCAGGGGGGTCATACAAAAAAACTGAAACTTCTCATCGTGTATATCGGTTGAATTAAAATGGTCAGTGTTGCCAGGGCTGTATAAATCCACAAAAAGTAATATCAAAGAATGCAAAAATAGTATACAGGGTGATTTACATAAGCCACACATTCAGAAGTTTTCCAACTTGCAGTAGGATTGAAATGTTTATAGTCATTCAGCTATACCGGGTGTGCCAAAAGCGGGAACCAACTTTGTTATTTTGAATAGAAACACATGTTTTTACATGGTTTGATAGGCCTTATTCTGTTGCCTTCTGATTAGACAATCCAACTCAGGTTAGAATCAATACAGGGTGAATCTGAAAGTGAGGTTTTTTATTTAACAGGGTATCAAAATAAGTTGTTTTTGGCCTAATGCTTCATTTCCCTCCTAAATTTTTTGGCTCCCTTCAAAACGAAAATCAATAGGCTGAAGATGTGAAAAGAGGTTTTTGATAAATTTTTCTGATGAAATAATGCAACTGTATATATGGTATCACAAATGCTGGACTAATAACGGTTTTTTTGGCGTTTTTTGAGAATATGTAAACAAAATGCTTTATAGTAGGAGTCTTCTTTCAACCTTTATCCGTTATCTATCTTAAATATTTTATATATCAGTCCACTCGCCCATTATCGACTACCAATCCGACCGACGCGTAATAAAACCTGTGTAAATACCGCTGAAGATTTTCCATCATGTTCTAACAGAGGAGCGTTTCTTTGGGAATATATTTTGAGAAATCTAGAAGGAATAAGAAATTCAAAAGAATTCTCTATGCATTTTCTCATCGTGATATACGTCATAGTATTTTTACTAGAAATTATAGTGTTCTTGCCTATTCAGAATTTCTTTCCACGTCCTGTTTGATGAATATTTGAAAGGCCACGAACATTCTTTATTGACCATGTGTGACCTCCCAAAAGCCTTCGACTGGCATGGCTTTTCATGGCATGAGAGGCACGCCATTGAAATTATTCAAGTCTTATTATTGGACGGTAGAAAACAATATAATATGTCTACTTATCGAATAATTCTGAATCTGAGATGAAAAATATTATACACGGTGTTCCTCAAGGATCAGTTTTGGGGCCACTGCTTTTCATAATATACATAAATAACCTATGCTTCCATATGACGACAAAGTGTGAGATTTTCCTCTTTGCGGATGATACGTCTTTTATTATTTCCAATAACGACATTTCACTCCTTCTTGAACATGCAGAATATCAATAATGTCCGAAGCAGAAAAACGGTTTTCTGTAAATAATAACCTTCAATCGAACAACGGAAAATCTCAAAACCTACTTATTAATTTCAAGTAATAACCAAATTACGGTAGGTAATCAGTGTAAATTGCTCGGGGTTATTATAGATAATTGTCTGAATTGGACACACCACATAGACAGACTTAGTATACTAGGCTGTCCAGTATATTGTTCTTACTCGGGCAACTTTGGTCGATGCCTGAACCCGAATATGTTGAAAAATATACCTATATTTCGGTCTTTTCCATTCTTTGATAAGCTATATATGGTACGGTTTTATGGGGTAACTCGGTTAACTCTGTAGAAATATCAAAACAACAGAAACGAGCAATAAGAATATTGACTGGAGCTGGATATGAGGAACATTGTCAACCAATCTTCAGAAAGATAGGGATTCTACCCCTTCCTTGTATCTATATCCTACATAATACAACAGAAATTCATTTCAAGAGAATGAGCATCACAAAAATATCTAGCCAACATCATTATAATATACGTCGTTCCGCTACTGCTGACGGTTTACTTGTGCCACGTTACATATTGATAAAATCTGATAAAAACTCCTTGTACCTACTTTTATAATAAACGATTAAGTCAAATTGAATCTTTGAATGAGAAATGTTTCAAAATGAATGTGAAAAAAATACTTCTCAATCATTTGTTTCTATTCTGTTGATGAATAGGTACCTATTCGCGGGAATCCATGTTACAGGTGGCGCTCGGTTTTCATCGTTCCATGTCAAAGCCACGTCAAAACTGGGGGAAAACAAACTCAATCATCACTCAATCCCATTAGTGTCATTAGCTTGTGTGATAACACTTTATGTCATTGACAAGTTATTTGACAGTTACAGCAAGATGTATGCAATGTAGTCTATGCACTTTATCCATAGACAACAGTTTGTTTTCCCCCAGTTTGAATTTCGTATTATGTAACCTAGATGTCGCCCACTTCGTGAATCTCGCGAATATTCAAATATCTCTTTTTGACCCCACCTTGTCATTCACTTTCCTTGATTTAATCTTGCATTTATTTTAGTTACTATACATGTTGTGTTTGTACAAGTATGTCTGATCTATATGTTTTATACATTTATTTATATTTATATATACCTATCTGTATATTTGTTATGTTCCACTGCCTTGCTATAAACCATATACAGGGTGTTGCGAAATTCGACCGACAACGCTTTTGACAGCTGATACCCCTCATGATACGGACATATATACGGTCTTCAAGTGTTCAGTTCTCGAGATACAGGGCGTTAAAGTTGAGAAATAAGAATAGCTGTTTCACAATATATCTCAAGAATAATTGAATATAATGCATTCAACTTCGGTATATGGTTTCATCTTTGAATGGGTCATTTTTTGATCAGGAAGCCATTCCGGACATTTTATCCAGTGGTGCACTACAGGGGGTTGTGGCAACTTTTCCTTATATTTTCTACGCCACTGATTAAATTTCGATTATTTCGAATTCCTTGAATTCATTGTTCAATTCAACTGAGCTGAAATGAACGGTTTTCGAGATATTCGACCCAAAATAGAAGATTGCATAGTGATATTTCATCATTTTCAGTAGTAGAAAATTGCAAAAATATTTTTCTGGTGCCGAGTAGATATATAAGATACTATTCAGATCTCATTCTATAGCTGAACAGAAATAGTTATTCCACGCATAAAGAGAAAACAAAAATTTTCTACTACTGAGGAAGATGAAAAATTACTATGCAAACTACTATTTTGGGTCAATATCTCGATAACTGTTCATTTTACCTCAGTTGAAGGTGATGCATTTTTTCCACATAATTGAACAATCAATTCGAGGAATTGGAAATAAATGGAATTTCATCAGTGGTGTAGAAAATATTGGAGGAAAAGTTATCACAACCCTGTGCAGCACACTTTTCTGGATAAAATTCTCGAGATGTCTTTCTGGTCAAAAAATAAACCATTGAAAGATGAAATCATATACCGAATTTCAATGCATTCCATTCAATTTTTCTTGAGATATTGCGAAAAAACTATTTTAACTTCAACGCCGTGTATCTCGAGAACTGAACACTTGGAGATGAAAAATATTATACACGGTGTTCCCCAAGGATCAGTTTTGGGGCCACTGCTTTTCATGATGAAGTGTGATATATGTACAATAATTTATTATTGATTGGATTTAGCCATTTTCGGAGGAAACGGTGACAGATATAGCGATTTTTACAAGAGTACCTTTTTTATGTAAAAGGCATTGGAGAATCATAATCAGATATAAAAATGGTAAGAAATTAAAGCTTAAGAGGAATAGGGTCAAATTTACCCAAATACCCCCCTGGTTTGTACGCCCCTGGTTAAAGGTGACAAAATCCGGAAGGCTCAGAATGTCCCTATCTCAGTGATCAGGAAATCACGAGGGCTATCACCTGTCAAGCGTTGTCGGTCGAATTTCGCAACACCCTGTATCAATTTTTCATGCATCCAAAATCAATATAATCAAACAACAATTAGAAAATATAAAATGATTTTAATAGTGCTTATACCAAGTAACTATCTTCATAGTTTTCTCTTAATGTAAATAAATTGTCCAAACACTCTTCGTAATCTTCTTTTTCTATGCCGCCATCAGTGAATTGATGTAACTTTGCTATCCTGATTTTCCTTGCCTCTGTGTGAAGAGATTCCAGCATCTGTCCCACTTCTGAGCAGTTGTGAAGGCCTGCTAGGACGGCTATTTTCTCTACCCCTGGTAATAAATGTTCTTCAAATAACGGCACTGATTGCTATTCTCACATATTATTCTTCAAATGTCGAAAAAATGTTCATGAATTTCAAGTTGTAGGTACATTTTTATCAGTGTTCAGTGGTACCTTTTCACCAATAAGGTGAAAAAAGTACCGTTGTTTTTTCTACAGGGGTTACATATCAACCTAAGAACAACAACAAGTTTAGGTCATCCTCTGATGGTGAAACTAAATTAGTTATGGGTCCCTAAATATACTTGACACTGCTGTTTTGACGTTTTTTGTGTATTAGAGTATGGAAACTGGACAAGCAGTGACAATCAAATAACCACAAACGATTTTGAAGCAAATCATATGTTTTGCCGGCCCTCTCTCTCAATACGATCCTATTATTCAACATCAAATATTCCGTTCTGAAGTGTATATACCTGATAAAAATGCGTTAAAAAATATTATATCCTACCAAGAGATTTAAATACCTCGCAAATTTTGTGACCTGAGCCCATATTTCATGCCGGCATCATATTCATCTGTTTCCATTTTTGTAGAATTACGTTATCCGATGGAAATTCGAATAGAGTGAATTGATTTCTCACAGTTGGGAACTGCACAAACTTGCATCTTAAGGTGAGTTTATACAGCAAATAAAACAAAATATAAGGAATGAAAATAGGATAAACTCCTAAAATTACATTAACATACCTGCTATTCCTGCTAACCTAAAAAATAATTCGAAAGGAATGGGAATTGAGAACATAATAGATGCAACTGATGCATGCAACCAGCGAGACACGTATAAGTGATATTGGTTGTAGATGTGTCCAGTCCATCCATGGACGTATAAACACAGTCCATGAGTCCATCACTTACTAACCTTTGTTTCACGTTTATTGTCATGCTTAGCGCAGAATAAATGAATTGTTCTCAAAGATGGATGCTTCATTTTTACACTTCTTGGAGATACGCAAGTACCAAAACATTCTCTTCGATTTCACTTTCTTATTCTACATTTCGCGTATATTTTCAATGAAAAAATCTGATACAAACGAAAATTGCTTGAATAATTCTGATACAAAATTCGAAAATGACATTTGACAGTTAATACTATTGACAGGCCAAACATGTCTCGAATTACTGAAGCTGTGTTTAATGAGCTGTGTTGCCATGGTAATGTGTTTAAGACATCGTGTTGCCATGGTAACGTGTTTAATATTTTGAATGAATCACAGATCGTCAATCCGTGATTAATCCATCACTTAGCGTGGTACGTATCCGTACGCTAATAGTATATTATGTAACGAGTGTTATAAACGTCCGTTTAGTAACGAGTAGTTTAAGCACGAGCGGAGCAAGTGTTTAATAAACGAGTGTCTAGAAGAGTTTATAAATGCATTACATAGTATGTATGATTTTTCTACGAACTCCGAAAATGACATTATAACATACCTGCAATTCCTGCTAACCTACAAAATAATTCGAAAGGAATGAGAATTGAGAACATAATACATGCAACTGCATGCAACCAACGAGACACGTAAAATTGATATTGGTTGTAGATGTGTCTAGTCCATTGCTTACTAACCTTTGTTTCACGTTTACTGTCATGCTTAGCGCAGAATAAATGAATAATTGTTCTCAAAAATGGATGCTTTATTTTTACACTTCTTGGAGATATGCAAGTACCAGAACATTCTCTTCGATTTCACTTTCGTCTACTATTTGCATATATTTTTAATGAAGAATTCTGATACAAACGAATATTGTTTGAATAATTCTGATACAGAATTCGGAAATAACAGTTAACAATTAATACAGTTGACAGGCCAGACATGTCTCAAATTACTGAAGCTGTGTTTAATGAACTGGGTTGCCATGGTAATGTGTTTAAGAAATCGTGTTGATATGGTAACGTGTTTAATATTTTGAATAAATCACAGATCGACAATCCGTGATTAATCGATCATTTAGCGTGGTACATATCCGTATGCTAAATGCCATTTTAGTTATGTGACTAGAAAAATACCCTTTTAGTAATGTGAGTAGAAAAAAGTATTCCATTATCTCAGCGAGTACAACACACTGTTGAATTTTTTGTATTACAAACATGACTACCCAGTATATCCCTACCTACCATAGGGAAAGGAACAAATTTTGAATCGATATATACAGGGTGTCCGCTAAAAGGAGGTCAATCCATTAACCACATATTCCTTGAACAAAAACAATATGAGTTTCTAAATATCATTTTTCATTTTAGCCCTTCATATTCGGTATACAGGGTGTCAAAGTTGGAAATTAAAAACTGTTTTTTTTTAATTACTCGCGTATTTGATAAGATATTAATCTCAAAATTGGTACATTACTTCAGCACAAAGAGTTACATCGTGTGAGGAAAACAAAACAGAAAATAACTGTCAAATATTCAAGATACTGGGGGTCAAGTTCACACTTACCCCCATATTTTGTTTGTACGTGCGCTAATGACTTCCTATCTATTTTCCTTCAAGTGTTCAATCATTTTTGAGTATTTTTTGTTTCCTGTAAAATTTCGATTGAATCATTTGTTTTTGAGATAATTCGAAAAGTACTGGTTATTGTTTGATGCCTATGCGGCTTAGGTAATCTCATAATGTTCACATACTCCTATTTATTTCGTCGAAATTGAAAGAGGGCGTATGTTTTCACGTACGAAAAGGTAAATATGGAAATACCGGGTGCTCGGAGCAAATGTACTAAAATAATTTTTACAAAAAAAAAATTAAAAAGTGTAAAAATTATTTTAATACATTCGCTCTGAGCACCCGGTATTTCCATATTCACCTTTCCGTACGTAATAAGATACGCCCTCTTCCAATTTCGACGAAATAAATAGGAGTATGTGAACATTATGAGATTACCGTAAGCCGCAAGGCATCAAACAATAATAACCAGTACTTTTCGAATTATCTTAAAAACAAATAATTTCATCGGAATTTTACAAAAATTAAAAAATACTCAAAAATGATTGAACACATGAAGAAAAATAGATAGGAAGTCATTAGCGCACGTACAAAAAAAATATGGGGGTGAGTGTGTACTTGACCCCCAGTATTTTGAATATTTGACAGTTATTTTCTGTTTTGTTTTCCTCACACGATGTAACTCTTTGTGCTGAAGTAATGTACCTATTTTGAGATTAATATCTTATTAATTACGCGAGTAATTAGAAAAAAACAGTTTTTAATTTTCAACTTTGACACCCTGTATATCGAATAAGAAGGGCTAAAATGAAAAATGGTATTTAGAAACTCATATTATTTTTGTTCAAGGAATATATGGTTAATGGATTGACCTCCTTTTAGCAGACACCCTGTATATTCAATTGCTTATACTTGGTTTGTGGAGTCTGAATCGTTTCGAGAAGTTCAGGAAATTCGATGAAGTTTGGGAAGTTCGAAGAAGTTTGGGAAGTTCAAGGAAGTTTAGGAAGTTCGAGGAAGCTCAGGAAGTTCTGGTAAGTTTGAGTAAGTTCGGGGAAGTTCGAGGAAATTTGGGAAGTTCGAGGAAGTTTGGGAAGTTCTGGAAAGTTTGAGGAAATTCGGGGAAGTTTGAGGAAGTTCGGAGAAGTTTGAAGAAGTTCGAGGAAGTTTGAGGAAGTTCGAGGAAGTTTGGGAAGTTTGATGTACAATTTTTTTCGCCGTGATTTACCCCTCGGTTCTGTGTCACTGTGTATGAGCTCACCCGTCTTCTCGTCCCGCGGGAACGCAGACACGACCCCATCCTTTCCTACCTCACCTCGGAAAACCCTCGGGAAAGTGCTTCTTACGTCCAAACCCTTGTGAACGACTGTGACGTTGCTGGCGGTCGCCTGTGTACTATATGACAGGTACATCGCCATCATTTCTTCGATGGTGCGGCACCTGTAGCAAGAATGGACGAAATGGACCATGGTTTCAAGAGTGAAAAAACCTTGGGAAATTACTCTGATCCTAAGGGCGGCGCAAAAGTAATCATCCGATTTCGTAAGACTACAGCTTTTTTCATAAGTGAAAAAATGGCAAAGCCTCGAAACATCTTAAAGCGTCGGAAATAAGTAATACGTCGAGAAGACGTGGAAAACGGCCAATAAAAGCATCAGGCAAGCGTTAAAACATCGATAAGCGTTGGTGGTTGGAATAAGGTAGAAAAAAAAACGTTACGAAAACGTCACCTTGACGTCATACCGTCAAAAATTTGGAGAAAAAAATCACAAATGCGTCACACATGCGTCGAAACATCAAAAAGTTGAAGGAAAACGAGAAAAACTGTTACGAAAGCGTATAGAATATGTTGAAACGTCGAATAGCATCGATGAACATAAAAAACTCGATGGATTATATCATCACGTAGGTATATGACAAAAAAATCCAGAAGCGTCGGAATAACGTGAACATGAAAATCATCACAAATACGTCACACATCGAAATTCCGTAAAAAAAAGTTATGAAAACTAGGGTCCCTTGATGGAAATTGACGTTAAATTCATCTTAACAGAGTACGGACAGATCATAGCTGCATTCTTTTTTAATGATCTAGAGATTTTAGTTTTGTCTACTGGTATCCCTGACATTGCTGTCACGTCACATCCATGGGCGCTCCAGAAAATCATTCAAATTTTTAATAACAGGTATGTACAGGGTATTTACTTGTTGTGGAAGATCATATTATGGCGAACGAGTTTTGTAAATATGATCCGATTCTATTCAAAATTGGAAGGTATGTGGGGTTTTCCGGGGTTGGAGATGATGATTGTTTCGTCAAACTTGGAAAATTCAAGATGACGGATCCAATATATAGCAGAAGAAATTTCTAATTATGATCTGATTCTATTAAAGATTGGTATCTGAGGGTTTTCGTGGTCGAACTTTATGATTCTTTGTCAAAATTAGGAAATGCAAGATAGCGGATCCAATATGGCGAACGAAACTTGTAATTATGATCCGATTATATTCAAAAAATCAAAATTGGTATCTGGGGATTTCCGGGGTTGGAGATTATAATTATTTCGTAAAAATTGGGATATTCAAGATGGCGGATCCAAAATGGTGGACGACTTTTGTAATGAAGCTCCGAATTTATTCAAAATTGGTATCTAGGGGTTTTCGTTTTCAAAATTGAAAAATTCAAGATAATAGATCCAATATGGCGAAAGAAACTAGTTCATTTAATTATTACACTACCACAAATAGAAAATATGTAGGATGCAAGAGTGAAAATAACGTGCCTATAAGTTATACTGCGTATACTTATAGCATATACCTACTTATTCTTTGTTACTTTCATCAATAAGTTATTCGAAAATGACTTTTTATTTAAAAGAGACGAAAAAATCATATGTTTAACATGGGGGTGAAGTATATTCTATTCTTTTTTTTTTCCTGCACATTTTACGTATTAATTTTTATCAGTCTACTTTTCGTCCTAGACGAAGTTTTATACATAGTGTGATATTAGTAACTCGATAAATTCTTCTCCAAGTTGGATTTCTGGAAATATATTTCGCACACCACCATTTCTCAATCATAAGGCTCAGCTCATTCAGCTCATAGATAAACTACTGCTCAGCTTGAAATCAGAATTCATTCAGTCAATTCAGTCAACCCTGGTATAGGTACAGTCTAAAGAACAGTCTCTTTTGGTGAAATATATTAAGCTTTCAGTACAATTTATATGTTCCCTACCCCTACCTCGCAAAGATTATGCTGGAGTAGTAAACTCTAAAACTAGAGGAGTGTTCATCTATATCTTGGTATAGTTGAATCAGGAATTTCATATGGAAATTACGTATGATACGCCAGTGACCTCAATATAACCTAAAAAACAACGAATGTCAAAAATCTAGTGTTTATCCCCAGAAATGAATACGGATGGAACTATATAACTGTTTCAGAAACACTTTAGAGTGAGAGGAGACGAGGATCTGTCCGTACCCTAACTTTAACGTCAATTTCCATCAAGGGACCCTAATGAAAACCACTCTCACGGATGTTGAAATGTCAAGAAACCATTAAAAAATGTTACAAGAGACTTATACATGCGTCGAAACATCGAAAAGCGTTGGAAAAACCAGAAGAAACAAGACGAAAGCGTCACGCATACATTAAAACGTCGAACAGCATCAATAAACGTAAAAAACTTGATGGATGAAAACATCGAGAAGTGTCGGAAAAACGTGAAAAACATCACAAAAAATCCGTCACGCATACGTCGAAAAAGTGTAAAACACGGTCAGGAAAAACAACAGGCATGCGTTAACATGTTGAGAAGCTTCTAAAAACATACACCACACTGTTTTACCACTAACCAAACCGTTACCGCTACGTGTTTCGCTAACTATGTTAGCATCTTCAGGAGAAGATTAAAACTGTTTTCAAAGAATGGAAATATTATAAATTCCGATGAATGATACTTTATAAATACAAGTAGTAGTTTATTAGGCAGGTATTGATATTATATTAGGTAGTTGAGTGAGTGTATTGTGCTTTCATCATAGACTGACCATGCTGTGGTGTGTGAGGATTATTTGAAAATCCGAACTTAGTTTTATTTTACGTACCAAAAGTGAGTGAATAAACTATCATCACAGATTATTCTTGAGTTAGGACTTCGTGTCGCTCATAAATTCACCACTGAAGGGCGAAAATATAACGCAGCGTTTCCATTTAAACAAAAATCTGTGAGAATATGTAAAAAAACAATATTTTGGAAGATATTGAGCTCCAAAGTTTGCCTGAAACTTTTGTAAATCATTGATAAGACGTTAATAGCCCTATCCAAGAGTTCACTTTCGGCGAGATCACAAGCACAGGAAGCATCAATGACTTTTGCAATGTTGCTGGAAGTTCAATAATAATTGGATGTAGTATAGTAGGAGCGCACATTTTTCGAAAAAATTTCATGTTTTCTTGTGATTTATGGTGTCATTATGTCTTATAGTACTCCTAATTTTATTCATTGCCCCAATTTCGGACATAGGGTCTATGAGACTCGCATACACGGATGTTTGGGAGGAACGAATTCTTGCGCACCTGTAAGCAGGCAGTTCTCTCTGCTTGCCCGCCTTGGTTTCTGGTTTCTTCAGTCTATCTTCGGGGATGCCTCTCAAGGTCACGTGCTGCATCATCCTGTACGTACCTGTGAAATAAACGGTTTCTATACAGGGTGTTTCATTGGGAAAGGTAAATAATTCGACTGTGGATAGGGGCCACAGAGGTGATTTCTAAAAACCCATAGTTAATGGATCTTCGGCATCTTATAACCGAGATACGGGATGTTTCATCAATTTTGGCCATATTTTTTAGACGATATTATACCTCTCCCCTACTAACTAGATTCTCCAACATAGATCGAAAATGAATAAACTAACCTCGAATGAGGGTCAAATCGCTTTGCCAGCTCAAAGGCAGACTCACCAATATCACAACCTGGAGTGATGCTTCGATATAGAGGCCCCTCCCACTTGTCCAGACAATCCAACAGATCACCCTCGATGGGAAAGGGCAGGCAGAGGCTGGCTGCAGCCGCTTTCCTGCCGTTCTGGCTCAGATCTGCGCCGAGGTCCGACAGCGTGAAGTCCGTCGACCTCAGTCGGTACTTCATCGACACTGTTTCCAAGGCCGATGCCAATATGGCGCTCGAATGGTAAGGGATTTTGGGCTGAAAGAATCAATGAAAGATGAGTTTATGAGAGTAAGTTTGGGCTTAATAGCTGCAGTTCAATCCAAAAAGAGTTATGAAAAAACGAGATATCATGTCTCATAGTCAAGCATCCAGTAAAACGCTGAGCTCTATGGTTATCAGCTCTGGAATGAATTGGTAATGTAGGGAAAACTGAACGAGCTAGCCAACAGATATACAGTCACCTTTCTATGGGTTGCGGAGCATTCTGGAATAGAAGGAGATGAAATAGCGGACAAACTCCCTAGGAAAGAAGCTTGAACACCCTTTGTGGGGCCAGATCCCTTCTGTGGAATCCGCAGCAGTACTGTATAAGAAAAAATGAAGAAGATGCTCAACAGATATCAGACATCTGAAAAAAACTCCAAGATCTCAGGCAGGCTAAGATACAACTGGGGGAAAATAATAACCATAAAAAATCGAACGCAGATGTCAGCCAAAGTAAACATTCGCTTACGCGATGTCCCCGAAATTATTTTCACAGTTTATGTTTTCCATGTTGAGAATCGTACTAATCGCTTAGGGGTTACCCAAAAACGTCGGTTGACTCGTAAATAAGTCCGTGTTTTTTATAGATTCCACGTTTAGCTCTGGTAGTAGTGATGTTTCTGACCGTGGAAGTCAGATACACAGACCACTAAGCTATCGCTTTACTCGTAGTAGTCGTATACTGAGGGAAATTCCTGTTAATCATAGTCAGAAATCAAATTACCCCAGCAAGAAACTTTAATAAAGAGACAAGCGAGTTATCACCTGTGATTGTAAAGTCGACTTTGCGGATTATAACCCACCTGCGATTATTAGATATAGAACCTTGCTGCCACTAGCGAGTGCATCTGTATATTGCTATTAGACGATGTTTCTGTAGTAGGTATCTGACTTTGTTACTGCTAGTGAGTGCATCTAATAATGTTATAATTGTAGCTAGGGATCTTTGCTACTCTTGATGGGTGATCAAATAGACAGTTGCATGACCTTCTTACTGTAGTTATTCAGTTATTGTCCAGGATTGTTGTCATCAAGAAAGGTGAAATTTTGACTGATATCCAATTTCACTTCCCATAATTTCCACCCTGATGTTTGGTATGAATAGCAATTCATTGATTCCTTAGGAACATTTCGTACCAATGATCTTTGAAATTCGATAGATGAATTTATTCATGCACCCTCAGGAAAAACAAAAGGTTTTTGAGAAATTGATGAAAAAATAATTTTTCTGAAATTCTCTGAATCCATTGTATTTCGAAAACTTGCAAGTTATTACAGATGCGTACAGGACAACAAAATGTTACCAGTAAAATCATTCAAATGATTTCATAACCTGGACATTTTTGCTCACAATAAGTTTTTAGACCACATTCTATAGGGAAGCTCTGGAACATATTTGACAGTTTTATTAAAGTTTCATGGTACCAAAAAGAAGGAAATGTTGAATGTGAAGTATTTGAATTTTAGTCGCAATACCTCGAAAAAACTCACCTTCATCATTCCATCAATCCTAGTAATAACTGAAGCACTCAGGTCTACGAAAGCACTGAAAAGGACACAGAAGATTTTTTTATTTGTTTGAAAATGTTTCCATTTTATATTTGAATTCATATTCAGATTTTGAATAATGAATTGAATTCAGGAGGGGAAGTATTCGTAACTGTCGTGTCGTCGAGATTGTCGTCCTGTACATGGGTTTGCATCAAGAGCCCAACTGTGAATGATTGATCAAGCGAGATGTCCGACAAATGCTTATATAGAGGGGGACCAGCAAAATATTGAATAACGATAAGTAGGCGCTGGATAACCCCAAGTAGGTTTGTCAAATATTCTTTTCGTGGCAGACTGACAGTTGTATTATTGGTAGTTCTATGGGATGAACCTCGCAGCCACAAGCATATAACTCATTTGTAGTAGTTCAGCTAGTGGCTGCCTGATAGTGACAGCAGTATACCTTCCTGTGGCAGGAAATTCACTTTCAGCAAAGTCGTTATTGCTATCATAGGATTTCAAGGTGCTGCTTCTATTCGAAAATGTATAACGGTAATATGATTTCTTGTAATGGTAGTTAGAAATATCTCAGCAAAAACTCTAATAGCACAATTTTCCTCAGTGTAGTTCCTCAAAATAAAGAAAGAAGAAATATGATGCGTTGTGGGTGACGTCACTTGACCCCGATGTTTGAAAGATTCGCTGGTCTAGCTAGACGCTTGTGTCAGCTACCGCCACAATAGTGATGAAGATTCCGTAAGTTATAATCCCAACAGTAAGATGACGCTGTGTTAATTTGGTGGCCTATACCATAATTGTTCATTAAAAGGCAAATGGATTGTTAAAAGGGGGCCATTTATGATCAATTTCGTGTACATTAATCAAACTTTTTATTTTAACTATTCTCTTCCTCCATCCATATTTTCATTATGTAACTGTTATGTTATATTTTACTTCACACAACCATTGTCGATCTAAATGAAAACCTAGTAGGCGACCTATTACGCCAGTAGGTACAATAGTCTTGCCTACTAACTACTTAACTAGGTTGTAATCGAGAAAGACAATGACACAACACGTAAAGTAAGACGTTTCAAAACTTCCATCACTTTTGAAAAGTGTCAAATTACATGTCAAAATTAGAAAAACATACTTACGTCATATTCCACGTGCGCAAACTCCCTCTTCGGCCCACTTCGTCTCCACCCTTTGCTACCAACGCCCAACGGCACGAACAGTGACGAATACGATGCGAACTCGTTGAAGCTCAGAGCGGTGTTGACGACTCTCGCGCTGTCATTCGTGACGGCCTGGTGTTTCTCCTCGTCGGATACGGCATCGTGGTCGGCAAAGTGCGGGGGAACCACCGGGAAGACTAGAACGGATTTTCTGTCGTACTCGTCGCGCAGGTGCTCGAGACAGGCGGAAGTTAGGCCTGCGAAGGCGTTGGTGCAATCTGTGAGAATTTGGAAGCCCTGCGACATTTTTATGCACGTCATGAAACGCCGAAAACCGAATCGTTAGATGAGAAAATTAATCGAAAGTGTTTCTTCTGCAAGCTAGAGTTCCTAAATGTACTTGACACTGCTGTTTTGACGTTTTTTGTATATTAGAGTACGGACACTATGACAATCACTGACAATCAGACATAACCACATATAAATTGATGGAAAGAGCGGGAACTGGCAGTACACGGACGTACATGACATAAATTTCAAAGGTTTCGCAAATTGAGAGAATTAGGAGAGATGCAAATTTTTGCAGCTTCCAACTGTGAGAACACGGAAAATCAATTCACTCTATTCGAATTTCCATAGGATAACGTAATTCTACAAAAATGGAAACAGAATATGATGCGGCTGGCATGGAATATAGGTTCAGGCCATAAAATTGCGAGGTATTCAAATTTCTTGGTAAGATATAGAACATTTTTCAACGCATTTTTATCAGGTACACTTCAGAAAGGAAGATTTTATGTTGAAGAATAGGATCGTATTGAGAGAAAAAGCCGAACCCACAATAATTTATGACCTGAGTGAGTATCGAAAAGAACCTTATTCCAATTTAGAACCAACAAGAAACGAAAAACTTGGATAATGAAATTCATTTCGAACATATTTTGAAAGAAAAACAAATAGAAGAAAAAAATAGAGAGTTGGAAAGTAAGTTAAAGCAAAAAGATTCAGATACAAAAGTACTATGAAAAACTTGTGCATTTGAAAAACCGAATGGGAGATTTGAATTGAATGATATTAGTAAGAATGTTGCTTCATATAAGCATATGATTCATGTTCATCTATTAAATACTCACCTACCACTCTTGTACCAGTGAAATTGTTCCATACGAAATAAAAGTATGTTTTATTAGTTGAAATTCATCAGTCTTTACCCCATTCTGAACTTTTGTGATAAAAAAATATTCAACTGAACGTATATATATACCTATACATATAAGAGACTTATTTCATAGGAATTGTATATGTATTTCGTTGGTATATATGTACAAACCAACTTGATATCGACCTCCATTGAGGTCCTTCAGCCTTATATCATTCAATATTTCGAGAAGAAATAATTTTATAATCAATTTATCGTACCCTTTTAGGCCTTTTACCCACTCGAGGAGATGCTATGCACTTTCATACAAAAAACAAAGACAGAGAAAGATACATGGATGTACTTTTCCCAGGACTTGTGGAGGAAGGAAGATGCGAGGATTCTTTATCCAAGCGAAAAACATATTCTTGTCCTTGTCTGGCAAAACATATGATTTGCTTCAAAATAGTTTGTGGTTATGTTTGATTGTCACTGCTTTTCTAGTGTCCGTACTCTACACGTCAAAACAGCAGTGTCAAGTACATTTAGGAACTTTACTGCAAGCTAGCTAATTGACAGCTAACAATAGGTGTGTTTTTCATTCCATTGAAGTCCGCACCACAGAACTTGTGATCGAAGACCACAGAGGAAAAAGGGGGAATGTCAACAATATAGTGGAAATTGACTCGACACCCCCATCTGATAGCCTAACCACTATATTTTAGTATAAACAGAAGTCCATAGCAATAACGCAGCATAGTCAGCTAATATGCTCGTTCAAAAATACGTTCACATGGAAAAAACTCAGAATGTCCACTTCTAAAATGTGAAGAAGGGGACGTCCAAGCTTAGTGCTTGCTTGAACATACATTCCATTGTGTTTTCAATAGGTTGTTTTCACACTGTCAAAAGGTCCTCAAAAAGGTCACAGTAAAAATATGAGAAAAAAAAAAGAGATATGATCACCTTTTTTCACCTCTAGGTGATATACACTGCTCACCAACATCCATATGGATGGTTCCATGGTTGCTGGAGAGCAGTGTAGATTACTGATGATAATCTGAGTTGGTCGTTGACTGTATCTTTGGACTCTTTTCTTTCTCATGCAAATTTCAGAATCCTACCTCAATAATAACATCAGATAGGGGGGTGCTTCCATGGAAAGTGCAACAAAATTCAACTTTTCAGATCTGAAGATTTTCCAGGAAAATCATAAAAATAGTTAGTTATAGTTATCTTGCCTCCTAATATCATTTTCCGGAAATGTGGGAGGATCCATGGCTGTTGGCGAGCAGTGTATATCACTGAAGATGACCCCATTGGTCATATAGTGTATTCTTCTCAGTATTTTTGATATAACTCTTACTTACTACTTACTAGGTATTACTTAACTCAGTGTTTATTTTATTATTATCTTTATTGTTGAAAACGTCACCTGGTTGACCTGGTGGATATAAACCACAAAAATATGAAAATCTCCGAACAACGAACCCGCTTTGGAGAAAGTGAATGCAGATTATTGTTAAGAGAAGTGAATAGTTTGGATAAAACATGGGAGTGAACAACCTTGAAAAAATCTTGGAGACAAAAAGAAGCAACTTTGGAAGATGAAATAGCACAGCTGTTCTCTTCTGTAAGAAACCCAAGAAACTCTTCAATATAAAAGTAGCAACAAATTGATGCATCTCATATGATTCCTGTGATAACATATCACATTGTTCATATAATATAAATACGAGTATAAATATTAGTATTGAATTCAACAATTTCATCCTTCAATCACTCTTGATAATTTTTTCCACATGTCAATATCTGACATTTGGGTGATTTCATCCAATAGCAATTCATGATTCCAGCCAATCATTTGGTATATTTTACTGATAAAAATGTTTGTCCTGGATAAAACATTGTTTGTTAACATTGACAGATTTAATTTGACTTGTAGTATTTGTCAAGTATTTGTAAATTGTCTTTTTATCAAATTGGTGAAAGAAAAAATCTTTCCAAATACAAATCATTCCTCAAATTTCATCACTCAATAAACTTTTTATTTGAGGCAAAACCACTCAAACAATTTCTGAAGTGAATTTTTTTCATAATAATTTCTTGAAATATATTTCAAACATATTGTCTCAGATTTGAGCATTCTATTGCAACTTTTAGTTTTTGCCAATCATTTTTTGTTTCAATATTGAGATGGAATTCCTGGAATAATCTAATTTCAAATATTTCTTATATCTCCTGCAAAAGTTGAAGTATCATCAAACATTCTGGATAAAAATCTATTTAAATTAAATTATACCAAAGTTATCATTCAAAATATCATGAAGAACCCTACCTAGAATCCTACTTTATGTTGGTATCTAACTTAGGTTTAGGACTTTTTAGGAAACAAATTGAGCTCTTTTCTACCTAGGACAAGAGAGAGGAAAGTTCTTTTTTTTGGAAACATATTGAGCTCTTTTCTATCTTGAACAAGAGAGAGGAAAGTTCTTTCCTCTTCCATCTTTCTCTTCAATGCTAGCAAGGTGGCAGCATTGAAATATGGAGAGGTCAGATAAATCTTTCCTTGTCTAACATCTAGTCTGCACCACTGAACTATTTTGGATGTTATAATAATATGATATGTCTGTCATGAATGTCATTGACTGATAATTTTTTGAAATAAAATTTTAGATTATATCTTACTTATTTTGGCATCATTTGTTAATATCATTAAATCCCACTCTGATGAATTCAAAGATAGTTCAGTGGATATACATAAAAATAATTGATTTGTTGATGATAAGTTCACTTACTTTTATATTATTCAATTAAATTAAACCACAGGAGTATTTTTGTCAATAACTACAGGCAATTTCAACTTTTTAATCACCAGCAAACTGAAAACAAGCCACATTTGAGAAGTTACACTTTGACCCTGTATTTGGGAATCAGGAGAAAATGGCAGATTAAAATATGTGGATAACATTAGTATGATTACTCACTTGAAAATGATCACATTCCTCTATATAGTTTCTGATCTTGTCACTAAAATCTTCCTCAAACTGCTGAGTTTTCCACAAGGAAACACCTAAAGGATAAGCATCAAATGGAGTATTTTCATTACAATGCTGATACTCTCTCAAGACATTCACTGTTCTGGGATGGAACTTTGCATACAAAAAGTCTGACCATACATTTACTTCCTCTTCTAACTTGTAATTTTTGCTAAGGACTCTCTTCGATTCTTCTGGGTCTTCTAGATCTGTCTGGAACTCATTTTTTTGTTCACTGGTACTGGCTTTGATGTCTACAGATTCATCCCATTCAACTTCAACTTTGGAGGGCTGGGGCAGTGGATCATATAGGTCGCCTTTTTCTGGAAGTGATTTCAAACTGCCTTTCAGATCAACAAGCAGTAAACGTGGGGTAAAAGTTACTTCAGACTAAAAATATACAATTATGCAGTTGCTATTCTGATGATGTTGACTGTAAATACTCACTCTAGATGTTAGGCCTTCTCTGTAAAGGACATCATGATTTATTTCTGATAGAGTTGTTTCACTATATTCAAAAGCCCTTTCTTGTAGATTCCACCAATGGGTGCCTACAAAGTTAGCATAGTGCCCAAACTGCAAAGTAAGTATTTCTCTGGTTCCCATAATGACAGGGTAGTCGACAAAAACATTCAACACATTGCAATGTGAGCATTAAAATTCAAAATTCATGTAAAAATGGAAAAATAACAAATACTATAACCTTACATTTTAGATTTTTGTCATAACCTCAAAGTCTCAAAGTCCTCTTCTGATTCTGATTATTTTTCCCCATTTAGTGTGGCTCGTAGTTAGTGAACCATAAACCTAAGCAGGACACATAAGACATAACCATTATGAACAAGTTTGGTAATGTGACAGGGGCGTACTCAAATTATTTTTTAGGATGATAAAAAAAACTGAATCCTAGCTAAGAATAAATTTTCTTTATATAAATCTAATCCCGGAATGTTGTTATTAATTTGGTATCTGTTATTAATCATCATTTGTATTATTATTATTAAATTATAAGGAATTAAATCATTATTAATTTTATCAGGATAGATGAAGTTATGGTACTTACAGTGGCGGATCTAGGCAGTTTTTCAGGGGGGGGCCATGGGCCGTGAGTTAATGGAATTTTGAAACCAAAGTAATTGAAACCACATGAATAATGAATGATATGTATATGAATATATATATATATATATATTCTTGGAAATATTAGTGGGATGCAGTCTGGACCAATGAATTAATTAGATTTCTTCGTTATTTGTCGAGCTTTCGAAAATTTTTATTTTCTTTATCAAGACTAACTGAAAACATCGAATGGAACAATAATATTAGAATATAAATGTACATCAAATGAAATTGGTATACTTACAAACATGAAATTCTATATAAAATTAGCACAAAAAGGAAACATAGGTGTATAAATAAAAATGAAATGATTTGACAAAAAAATGTCATAGATGATGGTTGACTCATTTGAAGATGTTGAATACAGAGTGAGATGAATACTGATATATATAAAAATACTGATATATAAAAAATGTTTGTAGATTATATATAATATTATTATAGAACAGTCACGAAAGCTTCCCCTTGTTATATATATATATATATATATAGCACAAAGCCCATGGTTTTAACTTCATCACTTTCGTTTAGGGTGAAACTTTGCACAGGGAATGGTTTTGGTATGAAAATGTTCAGGGACAGCAGAGTAGAAAAAAAATCTGAAAAGACATATATAGAGATATTTTGTTAAATGATCATGATTTAAATACCGTTTAACGATTCGGTTATTTTTATTGTGTTCCGAAAACGGCAACACTTGGTTACGAGGCGGATGCCAAGTATTTTTCAAGAAATTGTATTTCTCATAGTCATTCATTGTTCGCCCAACTGCTTTACCCTCGGCTTTACCTATATCGAAAATATTTTCATTTTCCATATTTTCTTCTGACATATAAGGGTTTTGAGATGACGATGATGGTTTCTCCTCACTTTGGATGCTTTGAGATAGTTTTTTAATATTTCCCTCTGATATGTCACGGTTTCCTAAAGCTGAAGATGACGGCCCTGCCTCGCTTTGAATACTTTGAATTGGTTGTTCAATTTTCCGCTTTTTTGCACTGGCAAAAAGTATGAATTAATCTTCCTTCTATCCATCTGAAAAATCAAAGAGCTCAGCTAAGTTCTCCAGATCGAATAGGTAGGAGATTGAAATTTTTTTTTCACAATGACACCATGATCATTAAAATACATTTTTTAGTTGGAATAAACTCAGGAATTTAGACATTAAATGAAAATGTATTGAAGATTTATCTGCAGCTCTAAATAGTTTTGTTCATCCAAGTGAGTAAAATTTTATACACTGATTATCGGTTTTCAAAAATATATAAAAATCAATCTCGTTAATAATCTCACTGTTGCGTATGTACCAATGTACCTACTTACCATTTAATTTTTAGTATAATTTCAATTTCACTTATCACTTACTTCTTCTTTCTTTTTAAATGAAAAAATCTGTGAACTGAATCTTACTGTTCTGAAGAACTAATGTGAAATGACCCTTTTCACCCTTTTCTTTCAAAACCAATTGGTGTTTTTTGCGGTTTCGGATAAAAAACAACTACTTATTTCAGTTATTCCCTTTGTTTTTGATTCTTGCCGCTCACCGCCACCGGTCACCGCTTACCGCTATTGCATTTTACTGAAGCCCCGGCCTTGAAAATAATTATTTTTCCTCTATCGTTATCTGTTTTGCCGCCCTTTGATCTGACCGCCTGTGTCGTTTTCCCATATTCCCACTGCATACAAGAATATTTCTATATAATATTTGTATATGATAATGAATGAAATTCAAAAAAGAGTTGATTTGGCATGTTCGAGTGTTTGAGGAACCATTCAATACGAAAACTACGAATACGAATAATTTTGGTTTGAATAACGTAGCTTTGGTTGCATATCCAGACTGATTGTTGAACCAATATCAACTACTTATTCAGAGCTCTGGGGGGGGCCATGGCCCCCATGGCCCCCCCCTCAGATCCGCCAGTGGGTACTTATATATACACGCACGTTAGATTCTGTCAGTAAAGTACAGAAGTGGTTTAGTGCCAACAACTCGAAATTGAATAATGATAAGACACAGGAATTTTTTTTTCCAAGCAATGGAAAAACTGTCAAACTTCTTGGAGTTGTAATAGACGACAAACTAACTTGGTCATCTCATGTTGATCATCAGCTATGTCATAAACTGCGTAATTTGAAAAACCAATTATATGCTTCAATACTGTTCGAACATGTTATTTTTCATTCTTTCATTCTCATATAAATTACAGCATACTCTTATGGGAAAACTCTTATTCTTACGATATGGAGGTTTTGAAAGTGCAAAGAAGAGCTATCAGAATTATCTTTGGTACTATTTACAGAGATATCACTGTCAACAAATATTCAAGGAGCTGTTTATTATGCCTATACCATTCTTATTCATATATGCTACAGTTATTGAGATACACAAAAACAGAAATCCGTTTTCTACCAACTCTGATTTTCATATAGGTATTATACCATACTCGTTATGCGAATAATTCAAGACCATACGTTACATACTGAACAAATCTCAGAATAATTCACTCGATATCAAACTTTATAATGTTTTGCCCCAGGAGTTCAAGGTTTTGAATTTGAATTGTTTCAAATCAAAATTGAAACGTCATCTTCTCCGTCACTGTTTTTATTCCATTAACGAATATCTGAGGACGCCCCTCGATGAGTCCTTATGAATGATTGTTATTCAACTGTATGTCACTGATTCCATTTTGTTTTATTACTAGATTAATTGTATTTGTATGTATGAATTCATTCTACTTTTGATGCGTTTTTTTATTCCACTACATTTTAATGTGTTTTCTTATGTTCTACATTTTAACATGTCTATTGTATCTGACCTGCCAAAAACATAACATTTGTAACTTGGTGAAATAAATATTCTATTCTATTCTATAACTCAGGAGATTGCCTATTTCGAGAAATTGAAAATAATCAAAATTTCATCAGTTGCCTAGAAAATACGGAAGAAAAAGTTACCACAAACCTTGTAGGTGGTATCCCAAAACTGGATCAAATAATGTCCAAAATGACTACATGGTCAAAAGTTTATCTGAACTGTGAAAAAAAATAGGATATTTTCGAAGGACACGACATACCTAGGATTAAAATACCTAAGTATACTACGTCTTTCATTGAAAAATGTCTTGTTAGTAGCAAAAACACAATATCCTTAACTTTTTTCGACCAGTTTTTTTGGTAATGACCTATTATACAAATTTTAATGCAAACATTCAATCCGTTCTTAAGTGACTGCGAAAGAAATAATATGTATTTCTCAACTTCAAAACCCCTGTGGCCTGAAACATTGAAACTGTTCCCAAAAAGCAGAACTGCTTGTTGTTCTGAGCCAATTCGACAGGTTCACAAAGCACTTTCTTTTTCTTGTCGTCAAACTCCAGTTCCACGTACCTAGACAAAGAAGGAAAGTCCTTCTTGAACGGATGGCCTACTCCGAAACCGTAATCGATTTGAATCCTTCTCCGATCCAGATGGTTATAGAGAAAAACCCGTACATGTCCCACACTTTCCTTTCTAGCCAATCTGCGGACTTGTAGAGGCCAGTGACAGAATCGACTGAGGTGAGTTGTATAGGTCTTCACCCTGATCCTACTGTTGTACTGCAAAGATAGGAGGTTGTAGACCAGTTCGAACCTGTGAGGTCGACTCGGGATGTCCAGAGCTGTGATAGGTCTACGAGCGATTCGAATTGAGCGCTGTGGTGGTCCTTCAGGAAGTATAGAACATACTCCAAACCGTCTCTGGCCTGGCTCGATCAGTGGAAACATATTCAGCTACATTTATTATCCTTAGTTTATAACAAATAAAGAAGAATCTCACTTGAAAACTTTATTGGAATATAACTGGTGTCAACTCATTTAACATTTTTCTCTGCCTTAGAATTCTCAGCGGCCTCTTGTTTGCTTTTGTACTTCGAAAACTGTTCCCAAGGGGCACTCAAATCGAACTGCCGAAATTCCTGAGCCAATTCGACAGGTTCACAAACAACTCTCTTCTTCTCGTCGTCATACCTCAATTCCACGTAGCCAGACAAAGGAAAGTCCTTCCTGAACGGATGACCTTCGAAACCATAATCGGTCAAAATCCTCCTCAGATCCGGATGGTTAGCAAAAAACACCCCGTACATGTCCCACACTTCCCTCTCTAGCCAATCTGCGGACTTGTAGAGGCCAGTGACGGAATCCACAGGGGTGAGTTCGTCTGTGTAGGTCTTCACCCTGATTCTACTGTTGTACCGAAACGAGAGCAGGTTGTAGACCAGTTCGAACCTGTGAGGTCGACTCGGGATGTCCAGAGCTGTGAGGTCCACAAGCGATTCGAATTGAGCGCTGTGGTGGTCCTTCAGGAAGCTTATGACGCACTTTAAACCGTCTGGGTCAACCAGGACTTCGAGCTCGCTGGAATTGGTGATCTGGACTTTTTCGATGTATTTCGGTATACATTCTGCCACGTACTTGCCGAAATTCTTCAGTTGGTCTCTGGCGGTGTGGGCTTTACCGTCGTCCTTTGCTAGGTCAGATTCAGAACACAATTTTGCAACTTTTTTGGAGTAACGTCGCGTAGTATGAGTAAGTGAGTTTGCCAAAAATGGTATGCTATTTTTCACGGATAAGATAGAAATCATATCTTATGAAATCATTCAAAACACTGTGTCATTTTTATGTCAACTAGGTAGCTCTATATAGCGTGCTCTATAGTTATTTTTTTATGCACAGTAATCTTGGCACAGTCATCAGTCGCTGGAAGTGACAAAGAAGTTATGTGATAAGTAAAGGATTACGATTTGATCATTTTTGGTTTCGTTTCGAAATATTCAATAGGTACAGTTTTTACCTCAGTCCTTGTTTCGAAGACAAGTGCAAACACCACGAAACTTATCGTGGGTCATCTCACGTAATGGCGTATCTCATAGAAATCGGAATTAGAGATACTGCGTCAAATAACTCAAATTCTTATACTCTATGATCTCACAAAATGGCGTAGCTCAATATACATTGGTTTTCGTGTAATTAAATATCAACTGTAATTAAATATCAACCCAACTTATCTCAAATTATCGGACTACCAAATCTCATGAAGTGGCCTAACTATGGGAGTTAGGTCAATACGTGAGATATATTTTTATTATTTGTTAAGAATTTCAATAGTGACGTATCTCATAACTCATAATCCGGTTTGCCGCAAAACTATAAATATCTCAGGTGACGTCTCAAGGTACTGAGAGGGGTGTTTTTTATCAATGAAAATGAATATTCGTATCTGATATTCATTTGAATTCTCTTTATATTCATGACGTATCTAATGCCACATTGACAAACATGATTCACGTAGTGACGTATCTCACAAACATATTTTTTCTCCGTTTTTAGCGATGCTTTTTCGAAATCTCACCTGGAATAGTGCTCCCATATCTGGAGTGCAGCACCCAAACATACCTTGAAACTGTTGGATTCTATCCAAAAAAGGGCAATTCGTCTCGTGGGTGATGCCTAGCTCACAAACTCACTCACTTCTCTGGAACACCGTAGCAAAGTCGGCAATCTGACTGCATTTTATAGACATTTTCATGCACGATGCTCTTCTGAAATCTCAACAATTGTTCCTCCCTTGGCAGTCCCCGCGAGATTAACCCGTTGAAGTGAGGCTTCGCACCCCTTCATCCAACGAACAGCGAGGTTCTGGAACATATTGCCAAGGGAGGTGTTTCCCGAGGCATATAACCTCCAGAAATTCAAGAAGAACATCAATTCCTACCATATTTCCCTTGGTTCTCACGATGTTCACAAACATCTGAGTTATGAGCGAATTGAAATGTTGAAAATCTTTGGATTGCACTGCTGTGAAGTTAAGAAAACTGAGATACGTCATTACGTGAGATGGCTGTCGATATGTATACAGGAGTGTCCCGAAATTACATAGGGAAATTTCAACTGCAGATTCTGACGGGAACAAGAAATAGTAAAAATATAATAAAAGTTTGTATTGAAAGAAAAGGGTGTTTCACAGGTAAAGGGAAATATTTCAGTGGTACATAGGGGTCACCAAGGTGACTCTGAAAATACCATATTTGATAGGTCTTAGAGTCTTCATAACGGAGATACAGGGCGATTTATCGATTTCGAATAATTATTCATTCGTCTATAAGTATTAAACTACCCGGTATATTTTCCTCAAGTTTGGTATGGATCTTGAACTTGGGACGTTGCATTTCTTCATCTATCGGACGGGGTGAAAATCCAGGTTCGGCATCAGGAAAAATTTACAATTATGCGAAATATTAAGATAACACACTGTATGTAATAACCAACAGAGTTCATCGAAGGAATCGTGAAGAGGAGGAAAAACTGAATTGGATTTGAGGCTTTTTGTTTTCCCGCCACCAATTCGCATCGTATCAATCATAAACAGGAAGTTAAAAGTATGTCAATTTGAAGAGTATTAAAATTATGAAACCAGTTTTAATTATGATTATTTGATATATTATCTTAGATAAATGATCATTCGAAAGAACTTACTAAGTCTCACTGTCTTTATAACAGAGATACAGAGGGTGCATGAATTATCGGTTTCGAATAATTCTTTACTCGTCCATAAGTATTGAACTACCCAGTAATATTTTCTCTAATTTGGTTGGAGCTTATTTAAGACGTTAGATTCATTGACATATCAGGCGGAATGGAAATTCAGGTTCAGCTTCAGAAAAAGTCTCACAGTCTTCATAACGGAGATACAGGGTGAATTATCGGTTTCGAATAATCATTTACTCGTTCATAAGTATTATACGCAGTAATATTTTCTCAAATTTGGTACGGAGCTTACTTGGGACGTTGGATTCATTGAGCTGCGGAATGGAAATACAGAGGTTATGCTTCAAGAAAAATTTACATTCATTCGAAATATAAAAAAACACACTGTATTTAATAATTAACAAAGTTCATCGAGAGAATAATCGTGAACGGGAGAAAAAACTGAGTTAGATTTGATACTTCTAGCGATTATTAAACTAGAAGATGTCAAATAATTATAATTCGATAATTCACCCTGTATCTCCGTTTTAAATACTTTGAGACTTTTCCTGAAGCTGAACCTGTATTTCCATTTCGCCTGATACGTCAATGAATCCAACTTCCCAAGTAAGGTCCATACCAAATTTTGAGAAAATATTACTGGGTAGTTCAATACTCATGGACGTGTGAATAATTATTCGAAACTGATAATTCACCCTGTATCTCCGTTATAAAGACTGTGATACTTAATAGTAAGTTATCTCGAGCGATCATTTATATCAAATAGTCATAATCAGAACTGGTTTCATAATTTTAATATTCTTCAAATTGACATACTTTCATCTATCTGTTTATGATTGTTACGATGAGAAATGGTGGCGATAAAATGAAATGCATCAAATCCAATTCAGTTTTTTCTCCTCTTCACGATTCCTTTGATGAATTCTGTTAATTATCACATACAGTGTGTTATTTTAATATTTCGAATAAATGTAAATTTTTCCTGAAGCCGAACCTGGACTTTCACTCCGCCCGATAGGTGAATAATTTCAACGTCCCAAGTATAAGCTCCATACCAAATTAGAGGAAAATATACTGGGTAATTCGATACTTATAAACGAATGAATAATCATTCGAAATCGATAAATCGCCCTGTATCTACGTTATGAAGATTCTAACCTATCAAATATGGTATTTTCAGAACCACCTTGGTGACATCTATGTACCATTGAGATATTTCCCTTTACCTGTGAAACACCCTGTATATAGCCATCGGGAAGCGATCCCATGTTGAGAAAATTTCGGAATTTCGATTAGGGGCGTAAGAAAAGGGAGGAGCAAGGGGCACTTCATCCTCCAACTTTTTTGTTCAAACAATGTTCGGCATGATGACCTGAAAAAATTAAAATATCAACAATTTTACTTGAAAATGCACAGTGAAAATTTTTCGGGTGTAATTTCAATCGAATGGATGCAGACAAGAAAGCACCGCTTCTCAGCATGATAACACTCAATGAGAGTGTTTTCACAATAGAAAAAATTATTATCAGTGAAAGCTAAAACGCAACAGATACAGTGTAAATATAATCACCAAATGATTGTATAGTACACCACTTTGGTGTTGAATAACACGAACCGATCAAATTAGCACTAGGTACCCTAGTGTAGTTCTTGACTGTATGTAAGAACGAATGACACCCTATGATGGTGTTAAAAATATCAGTGTTAATTCTCAATAAAATAATCAGGACCTCAGGGGACACCCAAGGGTCTTAGCTGATGTGAAATGGTGTTATTTTTTTTTTCACTGTGTGGTACTCTTGCTAGTCTTGCTTAGTTTTCATAGCATTAAACGTTTTCGAGATAAATCAATTTCAAAATTCTGTTGCGTACCTTCTAAATCATGACTGCATGTTATAAAAACCATTTTTTATGTTGAAAACGGGAGCAGATTCGGTCCCGAAACATCCAAAGCTAAGTGAAAATTTGATATGTTTTCTATATACCTTTATTTCTCTTCTCCAAACCTTTTTCAATATAAAAGTATAAAGCTAGTGAATTTTTTCTTTTGGGCTCTCTGATAGGAAAATTATTCAAACGCAGTGACATTTTGGGGCAAATCGTCGGATTTGTCCTTACTATACGTATATAGAAATAATATTCATATTTTTATTTTCCTTGAATTCATTGTTCAATTTTGTTCAGACAATGCATCACCTTCAACTGAGCTGAAATGAACGGTTTTCGAGATATTCGACCCAAAATAGAAGATTGCATAGTGATATTTCATCATTTTCAGTAGTAGAAAATTGCAAAAATATTTTTCTGGTGTTGAGTAGATTATATAAATACTATTCAGATCTCATTCTATAGCTTAACAGAAATAGTTATTCCACGCATAAAGAGAAAACAAAAATTTTTGTAATTTTCTCTTACTGAGGAAGATGAAAAATTACTATGCAAACTTCTATTTGGGTCAAATATCTCGATAACTGTTCATTTTAGCTCAGTTGAAGGTGATGCATTTTTTCAACATAATTGAACAATCAATTCTAGAAATTGGAGATAATCGAAATTTCATCAGTGGCGTAGAAAATATGGGAGGAAAAGTTATCACAACCATCTGTAGCGCACCTCTGAATTTGAATGTATATATTCAATTTTTCTTGAGATATTGCGAAAAAACTATTTCAATATCTTAACTTCAACGCCCTGTATCTCGAGAACTGAACACTTGAAGACCTTATGTCCCTATCTCAGTGATTAGAAAATCACGATGGCTATCACCTGTCAAGCGTTGTCGGTCGAATGGTTCTTTGTTATTTATAATATGTTTATTTTCACCAGTATTGAATAAAACGAGGACAATTTTCTGAACGAAATCCAGATACACTATCGATAGTATCGATAGTTGAAAATATTATCGAAGCTATCGATAGTTCCACCTCTAATTTTTGTTAGCTTTTTTCTTTTGAAGGGAGAAATAGCGCAATGCCAAAACAACCCTACTTGACCATAATAGGTCAGGTTAGTGCTCTGAGACAAAAGTCCCAGAGGGTCACCCCTACATCGAGGACGCTAGCGTACTTCAATGTGGTACAGACAAAGATATAACGAA